GGACCGATATAATAGTCGTATATTCCCAAGCATGTAATAGAAAACACCTATTAATAAAATATGTTAAAATTTAAAAAAACAATATAAACTTATAACAAGAATAATATATTCACACTTACCAATTTTGTGAATCTTTGCCTTGGATCCCAATGGATTTGCTAATTCTAAGTCATCATAATAACCAAGAAGCTGTAGGGCTTTATTATTTTTGGAAAATATTGGATGGTTTCTGAAAAATTCTCCATCCATGATATCTCTCATTATACCATCATCAGAAGAATGAGGATTGTCAACTTCATTCATAACATCTGGATTGTTCAAAAGTGCCTGAAGAATCCAATTTTGGGTTTAATCATTATGTTATTCAGTGCATGACAATAATTTGATATTGAGCAATTGAATTATTGAACAGCCACTTTGATAAGCTCTGAATAAAAAAGGACAATCCACTTAACAGGCACAACAGTGCGGACTAAGAAGCATCCCTCATATATGATATGCCCATAGTTGCCATAGGGTGGTTTATATTTTTGAATAAAGCTTCAAAAAACCAGCATGTTTACAAGCCTTTTTTTAATGCCTATTCATGATTTATTCTACCTCTAAATTCTGAAGCAATGGAACAAGGTAACCATAAGCAGTGACCCGCTTCAAAATCTTCCTCCCTCCACAGGTGACATGCTTCCATTGAACTCCTAACTTTTCTTTCCTTGGTTCCTAGAAAGAAAGGGTTAATCACACAAAGTTTGAGACTTGCCTAGGACTATATTTCATTGGCCAAGTTGAAAACATTATCAAACAAAGGAAATCCAAACATTATTTGCTCTGTTAAAAATGGGTTACTTTGAAGTTTATACACCGAAATATAGGTATGTGACGTCAACACGGAACACAGAATAGCAACTTACCACTAAATTGAACTGACTCTTAAAGAAAGATTGCTGCTGGTACTCCGTGTTTAATCCCTCAAATACACTATCTGCATCAAAAAGCTTTTCCATATCTTGCGAAAACTGGAATTGTTCACCAACCTCGTCACGTAGCTTTCGAATCAAACTAGCTTTGACTATGTCAAAGTACTCATTCAAAAGATCCTTGGTAGAAATCTTGACAGTGTCGAGAGCAGTTTGTGTGATATTCCCTCTTTCTTTAGCCCGGAGCAAAAACTTTGCAGCATGATACTTAAGGTTTTCAGCACACTTTTCATCGTTTTCTGGTCGTTCACCATCGTCTTGACAAGTATAATTGGTCACGGCCATATCGTCACCTCCACAATGCTCATCGATGGCTCGGTGATCTTGGTGATAGCGTTTTCGAAGACTATCAACTCTGGTAAATGAACGCGGACACGAGCCACAAAACACTTTAAAATTAGGATCATTCGAATGTACATGTCTCAGGTGCTTAAAAAATAGCGCGCTCTCAGATTTTCGGCATGAAAAATTACAATAATCACAGCAAAATAAGTTACTAAATTCCTCTGCCTGACTGGCCATACGTTCATTCTGCAATTATCATGCAAGTGTCTCTCCTAACACCTCGGGACGAGATTGATTTGCATGATGTGTAACGAAATTCGTGATCGATGGAAAGAATATGGAAGCACGCCCAAGGGAGGAAATTAATAGGTAATTGACGGCCTATTATGATTTAGTGAACCAATGAGAAGCAATTATGTTTGATGCAACTAAACAACTTGGGCTTTGGGGTATCATTTTACTGTTGTTGACACACTTGTTGTTTGCTTTCTTTGCGTTATCACTGCTGTTTAATTTAAACTATTCTGTAATTCTGAATAATAATTTCAACGTGATGGATCTGAAGAGTCTAACCTGTATACAATTGCAAGACTTGATGAGGAGCAGATCGGTCCCAGCGGATATATGCGATTCACTTCTAGGTAAATACCTTTGTATTGCTCTGAATGCTATGGAATTAGTAAAAAACATCTAGCAAATTGTTTAAAAATTCGGTTTCGTTTATCATTTTCACAATTTCGTATAGCAAACGACATTGATGGCATGATACTGAGTGATCTGATTGACGATCAAGCTGAGTTTCAATCAATGTTCCCGAAATCTGGACATCGTTTACATATGAAGCGGGTCGTAAAAAGTCTAGCTGCGGAATGTCACACGTTGACTTCGAATCCTGAAAGTGGTTTCTGTGATGTAAATGTTACAAGCCCAAGCCGAGAGAACTTAACATCGACAATAGATGAACAGTCGGTATGTGTTTATTATTTTTTATTTCTCAATTTTAACCCAACCGAGTCACATAAATCGATAGATTTTGAAAAAATTTATGTCATCTCTACACTTTAGTTGCCATCGAAATAGGTTCCCCATAGTAATAGGGGGACTTTTTGGGGGACACCCTGTATTATTCACTCAATGCTTAGATAGTTGGGTTATATGTGATAAACTTATACATACACCTTCTTTGGGACTTTTCAAGTTACACACTTAATTTAGGTAGACTGAAATGTGTTGTGTTACAACTTAAGGATAAATTCACTTTCTTTTAGTTAAGTAGCATCATGTCTCATTTGGCTAATATTGAGAATTTAGGTGCATTTTCCAATGGTGTTGATATCCTGAGCATGCCATCGCCATGTATGCAATCCACGCCAACAACAAATCCTGTTTCCAAAGATGCTCTAAGTTCATCCCAAGTTAGCACTCCATCACCCAAGATGAAAAAAACACCAAAGATGGAAAAGTCCAATGCGGCCGGGCTGCCGACTGATATGGGTTTTCCTGAGCGCTTTTCGATGAAATGGAAAGGCAATTGAAGAAGGCAATATATTTGCCTGTGAGGAGACAACTGATTGCTGATATAGCACAATTTTACCAAGGATTGTCAAATTCTCCCCAACAAGGAGACTACAAAAGAATTGCATTGAAGACCTGTGAGAAGTTTCCCCAGCTAAAAGATTCAACTGGAACAAATTTTTGGGTATGTTCAAAGCCATTTTATATGTTACTTTTTATACTGGCAAGTCTTTTTAGTTAAGTGGTTTTGGTGAAGGAAAAAAATTTCAAAATAGCCTGAAAAGTAATGTCACAGGCCTACCATTTATGAACTTGCCAAATATTAATGTACCTCATCTTAATAACATGTTCCAGTAGTGTCAACTTATTTGTGCTTCAAAGTTGATGAAATGAGGCATAAATTAAAGTGAACAATACTGCAATGCGATAAACATTTTAAAAGTAAATAAGTTAGCCATAAAAATAAATTATTAGAATGATGATTATTGTTGATTAGGTGATCATATCATTTTCAGGCATCTGTTCAGAGACAGTTGAGCCAGTACTTTAGAAATCAGCGAAGGTATTCAAAAGTGAGACTGTCCAGTGCTGATAGTAAGAATGGATGCCCGGCTTCAAAATTGGCAAAGATTAGTGATTCGAAAGTTGATGATGCAGTCACACAACAAAGAAATTTAGAGCTGCTTAAAGACTACCAAGTGATCGATATCGGGAAAGACATTTGCCACACTGGTGGAAGACACGTATCAGGCACGAAGGAAGTTTATAACTTCAGAGGCCTCTTCCAGTGCAGATTCTGGAGAAATGCCCTTATCTTGGAAAAGCAGAGAATGTAAGTGAAATTACCTGATGGTTATATTACTGCCCACCATTATAAAGGGAAAAATATAATTTTATACATTAGTACCAAATATCTTATTGATATACCCTGTACATTTTATGTTTTTAGGTTAGAAAGGAGATGAAACGGGTCATGCAGGGATTCTCCTACCCTGAAACTCTAAGAATTTCGAAGCTGCATTAAAGCAAGTTATAGGAGATGACAACAAGATGACAAAACTTGACAATGGGGAAGTATACACGCTGTTGTAGCGATTGAGAAAGACAAAACAATGCGAAAAGGCCATCAGCCATAAAGTTGAAAGATGTAAGTATTTCACTACAGCTTAATTGTGTGTGTACTCTGGTTGATTATTAGAATAATTTTTTACCTGTATACAAGTGATATTAATTTTTTGCTGTTTCTTTCAGCGGTCATGTAAGCCTGACCAGCTTTTTAAAGACAAAATGGTGGAGTTTAAGCTTGTGTTGGTTGGGTCGCCAGATGATATCCTGCAAGCCTTCATTGCTGGTGAGGATCAATGCTTCATGGAACCTCAAACCAATCTTCTGGAGGCCTTAGTGGACCTTATTTGTACTTACTATGTTTTTGATGTGAGTTACCCTGATAATCTCTCAGGCATTCTTTTTTTATTCAAGACTTTGGTCTTAGGGCAAAGGACAATGCCAAAAGGTCCATAAAGTACTCTACTTTAGCATCAGAACTATTAAACACGGGTTGTTAATTACCCACATATTCCCGCTAACATAATTTAATTGTATCTTTGTATATATAGTTTCATAGAAATACATTTCCCTTGCATGTGGTTTATTTATAGTATAGTATTTGCCTTATTATAATGAATAGCATTTTAAAACTTGACATGTGTTATTGTTTACTTGCACGCTAACGAAGTTAAATTACCAGTAGTTTCATGTTGTCCTTTTAATAGTGTGCTTATTTGTGTGCCTGAATGTGTGCACATTTAACACACCCAATGTGTTTAATAGCACACTTTGGTGTGCTAAATAACACACCTTAAGTTGTGATTTTAGCACAGCAAGGTGTGCTAGACAACACACATGGGTGTGCTAAATAACACGCCTTGATGTGCTAACTAACACACCTAATGGTAGAACCATCTTAAAGGTGTGTTAAAATGAGGACAAGCTAACAACACACCTTTTCATGTGTTATGAAACACACAAGGTGTGCTATTTTGCACACCTTAAAACATCTATTTAGCATGATATGAATACATGTATCTTTTACAGATAATACCACATAAAATATGGTATGTATTCATGGAAAAACTAGATTTAGGCTAATCATTATTATAATATAATGTCCTCTTTGATCTAAAACTTCCTAATTATCAGATTTGCTCAGTTACCATTGGTCTCTCATTTATTTATTGAATCCCCTCATGTCTTTCCCCATGCAATGTTGCAAAATTCTGTTCTAATCTAAAAGGACAAAAATAATGAATTAACAAGGCTAGCAATATAGCCACAGCAATGACAGCATTATTAGTGTCATCATCAAGACAATAATAACTCAAGGATAAAGGAAAATTATGCTGACTTTCTTCGCCTGGCACCAATAAAGTACTTATTGAGTGCCATTGTGCCAGAAATTTGAACACTTTTAATCTTAACAGCAAAGAAATGTCAATGTTTACCTGAATCCCTTTGTCTGAAATGTAAAAATTGCAAAATCGATCTCTTGGTAAATGAAAAACCGGATGGTTTTCCTGAAAAATCAACGCAACGGCTGGCAACCTAGTAAGATTTTGGAATCTTAATTCATCTCAGAAGCAGGACAATATGGCCAATAATGCCAAGGAAAATGCTTGTTTTTTGAAGCAGAGACATTGTGTGAGAATTACCGGTGTTTTTTTAGTTCTTTTTATGGCATCACCCTTGAATACTCCATCAAATCCACCTTCGCCAATCAAGCCATTCTCGATATAGTAATAAATCGCTCCTGAAAGTCAAAAGCAATTGCTTGTCAATATAACTGAACAACTAAAGAAATATGTGAAGTAAAATGGATTTTAGAATAAAAACGCAAACTCTAAAAATTTTTGTAGCGATAGAATCGACTTGCCTTTTGACTTGCAAACTTCAACAAAGTTTTCCCCATCGACAACTCTAGTGACGCCTGGCACAATTGAAGGTTGGGAAGGTTTGAGAAAATAAATGGGCTTACCAAAGGATTGTTTTGAAATTAAACTTTCATAAATCCTTGTCTTTCCCATCGCTGGTAGTGAAGTTTGTGTTTCATCGAGTTTCGGCCGACTTTGTAGTCTCAAAATCCACGAAGTATCTCTGGTTGGTCTTCGAACCAGAATCTGAACCCATCCTTTACCAACGCAACTGCACCCATTGCTTGAGTCACAAGATTTCTGTACTGAGCCTACGGTACCAGTGGCCTTTAAATCGCGGGTAAGAAGGTCAGTTGCTTTCGTATCGAATTTTGTGTTTGACACCTGGCTAGAATCATTTGCACGAGCTTTGCTATCAGTTGAACAAGCCTGGAAATGTCAAATACGTTACTAAGAGCTTTCACTAGAAGAATATTAAAACTTGGTCGCTCTTGCAAATATATTTTGTTGTTTAAGCATGAATACGCTGGGCAAACAGCGTATGCGAATTTAAACAATGATACTCAAAGCATTTTCCTTACCTGACTAATTGAGGCCTTGTTTTAGTTTCTCTTAAGCTCAACTTTTAAAACCTCAGGCTCCGTGCCCTTCTGCAGTGAATCATCTCCCACAAACACTTTTCCTGCCGAACAATATGCGCATGACATGTTCGAAGTTTCCCGGTTGTTGACTGTAACCGTGATCAACCCATTGCCAAGCAACCATCTTCTTGACGCTCCATTGTGCAGGAGTCGTTCAACAACTGCACTTCTATAACCAGAGAGGTGCTGAATTCACCTAACGCTCGCCTGCACTGTTTGTCTAGAATAACGCTAAACTCTGTATGAAAGGTATCTGTATGAAGCACAAATTACCGATCCTTTTATTACAAATTACAAGGCTAAAATCTGCGTTTGAAGGTAATATTAAGCACAAACTTCAAATATTAGTTGTAACCTCAGAATTACTGGTTAAAAATGGCCTCGGAATAACATTAGTTTTATTTGTGACCAATATTTCTTCCGTTTCTCGCAATCCGTGCACGTGATATCAACAGGTAAGTTAACGGACCAGGCAAAAGTCCCTGCTTTAATTCGGGCACACACACAACGATTTTACGGTAATTGGTCCATTTAGGTTTATACATATAGGCAGCCCTTGCCCAGACATGTTTTCCTTCTCGCGGCGCTTGCGCCTCGCGCGTGTACGCCAGTCTACTTGGTCTAATATTATGACCACTGAGCATAGGAACCCCAATAAATATTGTTGAAAGAAAAAGTAAATAGTCCAGTTACGGTTGCAAGTTCAGTAACGTCAGTGATCGCGAAGCATATAAATATATAGTTATTGAGAAGGATGGAAACTCTTGTAATAATATAAACATACATACGAATTTCACTCGCAAAATTTCATATCAAAACAACGAGAATCCCTCAAATAAATTATCACAAATACATTTTAGATACTCGAACAATAAATATTCCATTAAAAATATTTTAAAAAGCAAATGAAAATGCACAAAAAATGTACAAAACTTTTGCCTATTTGCCGAAAAATATCGTGGAACCATGCGAGATATAAAATGCGGTTTGAAGAACGAATCTGATTGGTCAAAAAAATAAACAAACGACGTGTGCTTGTCAAGCATCCGGGGGGTAAAGTCAAAGTTTAATTCAAGTTGAAAAAAAACGAGAACACACAAAAAAATTAAAGTTTGTAAAAATACATGTCGAAAATTTATAAATACTTTTTTATGCGAACGTTTTAAACGCAAATGGGCTAAAATTTCAAGATGACTGCAAAGGTTAAACCGGTTTTTCAACTTGAATTAAGCCAAGGCCTAGTTCTCAGCTCGCAGACTGAGGAAACATTGAAGAATGTTTAAAAAACCACAATGTAAGACATCATGGAAAAATCGCGAGAAATAACATTGAATTTGGCTTACCACAATTCGTATCTCCGATGCAATAGACGTCCGCTACGATTGTCATAATGAGTTTTTATGTGGTACACTAATATATTGAATATTCGTTCTGCAATTACATAATAGGAAAGGGAGAATAAAAAAATTATATTTTATATAACACCAGTGTATGATAAATAGAACTGTACAGCAAAATAGGCTATTACTCCTGACAATAATGTTGCACAGAAGCAAGACATTAAATATCTCAGAAATATTTGGGCTAAAGACCCCGGAATACCACTAAACAATAGCGGTTGAAATGATTATTTGAATAGTATATTACAACCAGCATATAGTTATAACCTGCATTTTTTTATAAGTAAAAACAATAATCAAAATAATACGTTGCTTTGTTATCTCAAATTACTCACCCATAGCAAGATATATTTTAGAAATTCCATATCTTTCATCTTTTTTGGTACTCTGTTGTCTTCGAAATGTCCCAATTTTACATGTTTTCAATCTGTTGTAATTTTAAGTAATTCTTGGGCTAGGATGTGCAAAAGAATCGAAGAAATAGCATTTCATAAGTGCTAAGCGATAATCGTTGGTAAGCACGTGCTTAAGACAAGCTCGAATCGGAACTAGGTCAGAATTTCGGATTTTTGCCTGAATTTGTTTTCCATATTTTTATTATTGTGAAATATTATTGCTGGTGATGCGATAATTCATATCATCAGGTATGTTTATATAAAAAATCGGAAAAAATCTTCTAAAGGCTCGATTTTGACGCTATATATATCAAAATAGTACTGTATATTTGAACTAAACCACTGCAACCGGTTTTCGTTTACATTTTGGCCAATATCCTAAGGATTAGGCCGCTTTGATGTGTAATATTGAATATATAAAACGCGTGAATATCATACCTGTGAATAGCTATGTATGCATGGCGGTAAAACGCCATATTTCGACTGGAATTTGCAATATTTACCCTTGAAATTTACTACATTTGCGATTTTGTCAGTTTGTTATATTTACTATTATTCCAGCCATGCCCAATTCGACAATATTCTGAAAGGTTCCGTAGTTAAATGTACCACATAATTCAAATGCTACAACAGTTTGAAAGATTTACTTGCCTTTTAAATTCCGACTTTCCTGCTCGATGGGGTTCTAAAGCTGGTGGGGAAATAAAGCCTTTTAATAATGATTGAACTGTATTTTTTTGTGAACTTCATGAGAGAAATAATCGAACAAATACACACATACTGTGATACATTGGCTTGGAATATGCTCCAAAACGTGTGAAATCGAACATTTGTTGTGCAATCACCTTGCAAATATCAAAGAAACGGGATCAAAATTTGAATATAGATTAACCAATCTGATTGGTTTTTATTGAACCAATCATGGAGTACAAAAATTGACCAATGACAAATTGACCTGTGGACAGAAATAACCAATCAAGTTGTCTTAATTTTGCTGAATTATGCAAGAGCCTACAGGCTTTAAAACAGGGCCGTCTGGACCGTTTTCTTCAGGTAAGTGAGTTCTTTCTTTAGGTAGGATCAAGGTATGTGTAATTATTTTTTTAATAGAAGTAGATCCCCGTGGCCACTCTGTTAGCTAAGAATCTCTGTCCCCGTATCTGGAAACACGGCTCACTGCTTGTCTAACTGTGTTTTGCTCTTCGTTTTCTAGGGAGCTACTAATAATTTTTTTTGTGTTTTTCAGACAAAGACGATCGTAGTTTAGTTTCAGTATCCAACCCTAAGAAGCCACCCCATATCCATGCCGTCAGTTAAACCCCTAGCCGCAATTGCCTTCATGCTAATTGTAAATGCTTCCTTTTCTAGGAACAACTCACCATATTTTTTGTCGTTTCAGCTACAGAGTTAGTGGGTTGTGGGTTGTTGGATGTTGTGTCGTCGGTTGTGTGTTTTGTGTTGTACGTTCGTATTGTCTGCCAGTCGGTTTGCGAGTTGCCCTGTAGCTCTCGCTTTTTCCTGGCCACACAAAGAACACATTTCGGATACTCCTTTTTAGGAGATTGGGTTCGAGTCCCATGAATGTGTCAATTTTGCGCTGATATCTAATGTGGTCAGTCTCTAATACATAAGCACAACATCCAACGGACAATCTGCATCCTTTCACCACACCAAATACAAGTGTTGTCCTCATACAACAGAATGGAACATCCAACAGAGTAAGGAGTAAACAATACCCAAGAAAAAGTTCTCATAACTTCTCAAACAGGACAGGATGCGGCACTTGTTAATGAAGTATTCTCGATGTTTAAGGGACCCTCTCAGTTAGACGTCCGATCAGAGGATATTTCAAAGTGGTAAGCTGATTTAAGCATGTGATTACTGTGCGAATACTCAACCCATTTTAATAAATATGAGACCACTAAACTCATTGCTGTCTGCTCGTAAAGCGCGCACACAGATAATGTTGATTTTATCTGGAAGTATTTTATAAAATCAACTAGAAATTGTGTTATCTCAAAGAAAAAACATTTACCTATTTGTATAAATTTAGGTCATTTCAAAAGCTTTCCTATAAGCCAAGATATTTTTTGCCGAACTATTACTTTTTAAATTGAATTTTAGAGAAGCGAAAATACGGAAAGCCTTCCAAAAATCTCGCCTAAAAACCTCCAAATATTTCTAGTATACATTGGCACCAATATTTTCATGTATTTTACTTGAAATACAGTCGCTTTGGTGATTTGTAGTGATATTTCCAACAAACGTGTTTACAAATGGAAACTGGAAATGTGCATATAATTATCACCATATTGGCGAAAATTTTACAATTATGACTTCTAGGGACAATTTTACTTCGGAAATCGATTACCGGGCTTATTTTACTCCAACGGGGTAGGCAACCTTACGTTTTTGA